AATATTCTCCATGTCAGTAAATATTTACGTGTTTTACCACAATGATGAGCTGAAGTTTGTTTTCAATTTTAAACAGGTCACTTAAGAGTTAAATATGATTTTTGTTTTGCACGTGGTGTTGTGATATCTTCTACTTTATCATTTGTAGAAGATATGGTAATAGGTAATACCATAGCTATTACACATCTGTGTGTTGAGTTTACAGAAGTAAGGGGTCGCCCCAAGATAATTTGTTTCTATCTTTGTTTGCACAGTGGCACTTATTAGGCTCCACATACCCACAACTTTAAATTCGTGCTTGATCAGTCACTCCCAAAACTTTCTAGAGAATGTGGACAAGTAAAGCTGATTGAGTTATTAATTTAGCATATAAAATAAAGTAATTCTTCTAGTCTGTGCCATTTTAAATTAACTTCACTGGTCCATGTCTAGCCCCTGATGAAGAAGGTCTAAAGAAGTTTAGCATACATGCCGTAGCCTTTAAAGTCAATATGATGAGCTGTTCATTTTTTAAATTATATATAAACTGTCTCTAACTTCTGTTTGGTGTAGCTGAGCTACAAATTTCTGGCAAAGTTTGGAATAGAGAGAAAAGTGAAAATCTGTGCTAAAAATAAAGGAATCACCATTAGCTTAAGGTGGGAAGAAAAAGAAACCATTGCATTTTTCAAACTGGCATTTAATTTGATAGAAAATGATTTTCTTTTGAACTGATTCATCTTTGTAAACACCCTGAGAATAGGTTTACTAGTTGCATGTTCATCTTTCTTTATCTTGGCTTTGCATTTGGAAAACAAGCAGTCATTTCGAGAGCTCATTGCTTCACGGTTAATGCTATGATTGTGATTCATCTCAGGATATGTGGCCTATTGACTCATTTCAAAGTGCAAAATAACTACCAAGCCAGACCACCATAAAAAACATTTGGGCTTTGTTTACCTCATGGAACTATTTTCTGCTGTCTTGGTTGTGGGTTCAGCGATTAACTGTAATATAATAAACTTATGTTTTAAACAAATAGATCCCTTGCTTTGACATTCGTTGGTTTTCTCTAAACATTTCTACTTGAAGGGAAAAACTTTTCTGTCCACGTCAACCGCTGACGCAGACATTTCCTTAAATTGAGCATTTATTGATTGTAACGTTACTGGGAACCTTAAGGAACTTTTTGAAAAAGGTCACCAAATAGAACGAAGGCCTTCTGTGAACCTCTAAGCAGCAATAGTTCTCAGAAGATCAAATTTGGAGAAGTTGTACAAACTATCTTCTTTTAGGGAACATCTAGGAAGTTTTTCCTGAAGGTTGTCTAAGGGTTCCTTTTGGGAAGTTGCAAAACATTGAGATGGTTGCCTTGTCAATGCTCAACCTAATTTTCAAGGAAACTTTGAGAAAAAGTTAGTTGAAGGTTCTTCCAGGGACACATGTTGAAAGTTACAAATAACCTTCTGAAAACATTCAGTCGCCATTGTACTAAGCTAACGTCCAAAGAACTTTTAGAAAATATTCCTAACGTGTTCCTCTAAGGTTGCACTATTAGAGTTGTAGTAAACATTGAAGGGACCTCTGGAAAACATTCTCTGATTATTTGTCCATATTGAAAATAAGCTTCAGAGAACTCCAAGGGATCCTATGAAGGTTTTCTAAAAGTTAGAAAAAGTTGATATCATAAAGGAAACGTCCTCTAATTGTTAACCCTTCATTGAAAGTTCCCTGAGAGTTATACACTTTGCAATCTTTATAGACCCTTTTTTTAATAAAGATTGGGGCTGGTGGATTGAACTGTTTGTGTTCCCTGAATGTTCCTGTAAAGTTTCTTGCTGAGAAGTTACTTATTTACATTTCACTTAATTTCTTAAGTTGTTGTTTAACATGGCACACTGTCATTTTACACTACATTGTTGTGAGTAGTCCCAATTCTTCATCTAATAAATAAAATACACAATATATTTATTCTGAGTTGTTTATTATACAAGTCATGTGGGTTTTAACTTAAAATTTAGAGCAACCATGGATATTTCAATTGAAATAGTTTTTAACCTGTTATAAAGTGTAAAAAACGACAACAAAAAAACAAAACAAAAAAAACAAACAACTAAATTAAATAAACACAGGCTCAAACTGTAACTTTTCCTGTTTAGCTTATTAATTTAAAAAAAAAGAAGAAAAAAAAAAGATTTGAATGTGATTCCCCAGAGACATGGCGTTGTTTAGGCAACGGGACTACTTTATAAGACCAGGCTGAGGAATGCGCGCAGGGACACAGCGGGGTGTGATGGGGCTGGTGGATTTTTGCGGCGTGTCTGAGTTCTCCAAGGACGATTCAGAGTAAACATCCCGCCACTGTGTGAGGGCCACCCGGCATTAGTCAGGCCTGATTCCGGCCGTTTGGTGGCAGTTAACGGACACACCATAACTCAACAAGCGCTGATAAAGTAAAACTGTGTCCGGCCTGGCGTGTTTGAATAGACTTGTTGGCTCTCTGTGTCCCCGGAGCCCCCCTCCAGAACGGGCTTGCGGTTCACCGAGGAGGCAGCGGCAGCCTCTGCCGGCTTAGGCGTTCCTCCCCGGGCTGCGAGTGGGAACTTGTCTGAAAAGCTAACAGAGAAATTCTTCAGGGCTTAGTCCCGGAGCTGCTCATTCAAAAACAGCACTTTGAAGAGCTTCGGGAGCGACAGACCTCTGTCAGTTATTGTTCCAGTACAATTCACTCAGAAACGTAATATTTGCAGATGAAGTACAGCTTCTTCCACCTGCCAGTAGTTCTCTAATTATCTTCAAAGGGCAGTTATGCACGCACAATTTAACCACACACCCTTTCATAATTAAACTTACCAATAGGAATGTTGGGTGTTTTGAACTAGGCATTCATATTCCAGAATGTCAATAAAAAATAAAACTTGCCATTTTAATAACTTCCATATGCATTTAAACTCCAAACACGGTTTAAAAAGAAGCACAACCTATTTAAAGCAGACTAAGCTTTTCATGTCAGTCAGTCAGGACTGCCTAAATGATTTCTATTTATCTATTTGTCTTGACCTTTTCTATGGGACAGAGTTCTAGCTGTTTTTCTGAGGCCTCTCCAAAGTATTAGGCTTACAATCCCAAGCCAAATTGGAGTTAATTTAGTATGCTTGGGGTTATTGTCGATTTTAAAAACCCATTTCGGACTGAGCTTTCACTTCTCGACTGATGTTTCAATATGTTCACATTATGTTCTTTCCTCACGTGTCTATTTTTTTTCTCGCAAATGTCAATGACCTCCATAAGGTCAGCAAATGTACTGTAATAACATGTAAGGAACAGTTATCAGTTTTTTTCCCAGTAATTTCTCCAATGTTTATCTAAGAAAATGTTAACAGATGTAGTAAAATAGGTGGATTTGCATGTTAAACGCAGCTACGTTCAAAGCTGATTTACTGATAAGAAAATAACCACAGATGTGGCACACACCATGTTCAGAGTTAACGGTGCTTCGTTATGTTAATGAGACAACTGACATGTCTGAGTAGGGCAGATGCCAGATCTGGTTTAACTGTGATCGTCAGATTGTGACCACATTCTGTGTTCAATCAGGTCTACATGTGCTAAAAAACAAACAAACAAACAGTTGCTGTGTTTTCTGTTATGAAAAAACACTTAGGTGTCAGAATAACAATGTTTTCTTGGGTGTGTCTTTAAGTTCAGTCTTCTCAGGAGAACATTTAATCTACATTTGAAAAAAGTAGATTAAAGGAAGGTTGTGGACAAAAGTTTGAATGTTCCCTTCATCAACATAAATACGACATTGAGTTTGGTCATTTGATGACGTATTGGAGCTGTTATTTTATTCGGTAACACTTTATTTGAAAGGGGGTGAATAAGACTGTCATGACACTTTCATTAACATGACATAACACCTGTCATGAGCATGAATTAGCCTTCATGAATATTTATGACTGTTGTCATAAAGCGTCATTCGGTAAATTATGACACTTTTAATACAAAGTTGACATTATTCAAAATGTCTTTGTTATGACAACTTGACATTAACCAAGAAATCATTACTGTTTAAACTTTACCTTTAATAACATAAAGTTACCTAATTTTTAAAGTGCAATCAGTAATACTTTTATAACAAATTTATATCAGTAATGATTTCTTGATTCATGTCAAGTTGTCATAACAACGACATTTTTAATAATGTCAACTTTTCATTAAAAGTGTCACAATTTACTGAATGATGCTTTATGACAACAGTCATAAATATTCATGAAGACTAATTCATGTTCATGACAGGTGTTTATGACAGTGTCATGTCCCCCCTTCAAATAAAGTGTTACCTTTTATTCTTTCAGTGGGATGAATATACAACCTCCAGCTTCAATTAATTTGTATTTGAGTATGTTTGAATTTAATTTGTTATTTTTATGTAAATTTCCCTTAGTGAGAAGCAGTGAAACCATACAGAATTGTTTTTGAAACAGATAAAACAGACTATTATTATTCTTCTGGAACATCCTCAATTCACCGTTTGAATTTGTGTGCAAATTCTAATTTTTGCACACAATTCTAGTTTTTATAAACAATCGTTGAAGTTCCTTGTTGTGTAATAAAATGGTTCAAATGCTAAATTGTGGGACAAAAATTATTAAAGAAATCCATGCCCACGATGAGTGTATATAAACCTGTGGGTCTCAACATAGGTGTGTGAAAGATGTAATTATATTTAAAGGGTAAGATTTTGGAATGAGACAAAGTACTGTAGCTAATGAAAGAATGAAAAGAGTAAAAACAATAAATCAGTAAAAACATAAGAATAAGATTATTTTGGGTAATATTAAGTCTTGAAATTGTTTCATTTGACTGAAAATTTGTTCAAACTAAGAAAATAAGAAAATAAGTTAGGTAAGAACCGAAGACAAATTATGTAAACAACAACAAAAGGACAATACAGATATTGATACAACCGATTTATTTTCTCCGTTTTGATGACGTGAAATTGATAAATAGGACCTGAGCGAGTCTTTAGCACCCTCTGCTGGTCGGTACTGAGTAGTGCAGACAAGATGGCGGCGCCCATCAGGACTTTGTGCTGTTCAGGTGAGACAGAGGTTAAGCTTTAAATCTCTCGTATGCACTGTCAGCCCAACATTGAAAGAAGCGTTTTGTAACCGCAAACAGTTTTGCTTATCCGTCGTTGCTTTTTCTGCTATTATCTGCCAACAGTGTTGGTTAATTGCTAATGCTAACGTCGATGCTAACCGTTTGACAGCAAGCTTCTGCTGATTTGTGTGTGTGTTTTTTTTAAACAGCTTGTAAATGGCTTTAATTTGGTGATTCTGGTTTCTTCTTGTTCTTTTCGAAGCCCTGAGACTTTCAGGAAGACATTTCAGCTCCACATGTGGAGTACAAGCTGGACAAAAATGGAGGCTAGAGTAAGTTGTGCAACCTTTGCCAAACTTAATTGAAATGTCCCTAATTTTTAAAGATACAGGTTCAGATTTCCACCAACATTTAACAATGTCTTTCTTTACCCAGTTCACTCCTTTCACCGATAAGTTTAACACAATTCGGCCAAGTAATTGCTTTGTAATCTCACTTTGAAGCTCGTTGAAAACACCACTAGGTACACAAAACATCTAGATTAGGTACCGGTTAGTCTGTTGACACCTGTGGACTCAGGCTCGTTACCAATTTAGTTTCTTTGCAATAATTTTTAAGACATTTCCTGTACCTATGATTAGTTGTGTTTAGTTATTTGTGTGCATGTGCTTGCAGACATGGACTGGCCAGAAGTGGGTCTGAATATGGACCAATGACAGATCTGCCTGACTGGTCTTTTGAAGGTACTTAATTAAGAGACCACTGTTTTATTGAGCTAAAGCTAAACGGAGCTGAGCGCATCACTGTGTATCAAATGGATGATTCACTATCCCTTCCTTTGCTACTGTGCGCATCTGCAATGTTGGGCTCTGACCCAAAATTGCACTTTTCTGGGATCAAAAAAGAACTGGAACAAAGAACAGGCGGTGATTTATCTATATTGAAAGTCAGCAATTTCATTATACATAAATCACTGTTTGATGTTTTAAAATTAATCAATATTAATTTTACTGTAAGCTAATGTTATTAAACATTTCAAGTAACAGTCACTCAGCCACAACTATGCAAGTAAAGGGAAGTCTTGGAAAAGTGTTCATTCCTCCTGAACATTTTCAGATGTGGTCCTGTTACAACTGCAAACTTCAATACACAGCTCTGGAAAAAATGAAGAGCCCACTGCACTGAACCTCACTGAAAACCTCCTGGTTGTTTCACCAATATTGATTCCCGAACTCTTCCTGAGTCAAAACATTAATTTTGTTGTTTCTAAGTGGATATAAACTTGTTTTCTTTGCTATATTTGAGGTCTGAAAACACTGCATGTTTTTCATTATTTTGACAACTTCTCATTTTCTGCAAATAAAATACAAAATTTTTGTTTGTAATTTCAGAGACATGTCAGTAGTTCATAGAATAAAAGACCAATGTTCATTTTACTCAAACATAGACCTATAAAGAGTAAAATCAGAGAAACTTATCATTTAAAGTGGTCTCCTAATTTTTTTTTTCCAGATCTGTATCTTATTGGAGTTTTATTTAATTAGGTCTGATTTAATTTGTTTTCCAGATAAAATCTGTGAACCTGTTTTCGTGTTCACTCTCCTGAGTCAGTACATTTATAGAACCGCTTTCTGCTGCAGTTATGGCTTTTTGTACATCTGGAGTCTGACTTTTTAGAGCAATTTCTCCATGCAGAAAAAAAGAGCTTTGCCTCAGTCAGGACAGATTGAGAACATCGGTAAACATAAATTTCTCAGCTCAGACATTACCTCATATTCTCAATCCCATTTCAACACATAGACGATTTGATAAACCATTTCATTGTAGTTCTGACTGTATCAGGACGTTGTAAGGTGAGCCTAAGTATCAGTCTAAGGTTTGTTTGTTTTTTTTCAATCTCCTAAAGGTTTTGCCCTGTTTTAGTTCTGTTCAACTTCCAGTTAACTCTGACCAGCTTCTCTGTTCCTCCTGAAGAAGACATGTTTTTCTTGCATCTCCTACTTGACTGTGACAAGCCGGCTTCACTTTGGTCTGTTTCCCATTTGTGCTCAACTTGATCATTCTGCTGACAGACGGACGTCCAGCACCTCCTCTGAAAGGCCAGATTAGGAGAAGACAAGAGAAAGAAACGTTAGCGGTGAGCATCGCCGTTAAAGTCTCTCTTATTTGCTGCCGTTTAATTTGACCTTCGCGCTCATCGGTTCTGCACCGTCTCTCCTCAGAGGCGCATCGTGATGCTGAACTCGGAGGTGGATCATGGAGTAGAGGCCTGGAACAAGAAGCAGGAGGAGGCCAGACGAGCGGAGGAGCACAGAAAGTCTCTTTTGCTCAAACCCAAAGGAAAGCTGCTAACGAAGAAATCCAAGAGTTAGAGAGCCGATTATTCAACACTCTTTAAATAAATGCTGTCTGTTTTGTTATAAGTGGTCGTGTACATTTTTTTGTTTTTCTTGTTTATGGGGAAAAACAGAAATGATGCAACATTTATTAAATTTTTAAAATGTCCTCTGCATCCACTAGATGGCAGCATTCCTCCTGCCTGAACCAGATTGAAACTCTTTGGCTCCAGAGGAGTTCTTGTTTTGCTGGAAAACGAACTGATGGACATAAAGAATCTGATTCACTTTCCAGCTCAGTGAGGTTCATGATGTCTTCTGGACGAGATTGTGACTTACAAATTCCTATTCGTTTAAATTTGTGTTGTCTTTTAGAGGATTCAGCTAAAAAAAAAAACCAACACACAAAACCAAAGCAGCAGAATGGAGCATTTCTTCTGACTGATGTCTGCAAAGACGCTTAACTGCTGCTGGCAGGAAGTTCAATCTGACATTTTCTGGCGTCGATGCGACTCTTTCCGTGAATAAACCCAGAGTGAAGCTGGTAAAATGCATTCTAAGAAACCGACCGTATAAAGGTGGCGTATAATGGGATTGGATCATACTTTTAGCCCTTTAAAAATTTTCTATAAACGTGAAATGTTCTGTATTTCTGCATAACGCCTAAACGTCTGCGTTTCACGCAAGTCCCGGGAAGATGAAACGAACTAAATGAGTCAGGGGGGGCTTTTAAAAGCAGACCGAATTCAGCCATGTTGAGCTAAAGAGAGTGTGATCTTTGCAGAGTGTTTTTTTTTTATCGTTCCCTCGAGCAAAATTAATTTCTAAGAATCTATAGAAGAGTCCCAAAAACTGTTGGAGGTAATGGGTTCAGCGTTGAGCGTTCAGAGTTTTTCTTCCATCAATCTGCAGTCAGACCGATGGAGCACAAGTGGAGCAAACTTCGGTTGACTCATGTTTTTCCTGGGACTAAATCAACCAGCTTCAGTCCAGGAGCGTGTTGTGTAACAAGCTTGAGCTCAGAGAGGAACCCTGGCAAACCCCTAAATGAAGCCGTCTCTCACACCAGATAGTTTTATTGTCAACTATTAGCAACCAGAAATATGCCGCAGAACTACAGTCTGCAGTTTGACTAACTGAAAGTGTTCTGGTTTCAGAATGCTAACCCTTTTCCAGCGTTGAAAACACGGTGGTGGTTGTATTATGTCAGTTTATCTCACAAAGGGTTTTCAAAACGGTGCGCATCATATTGGCATGTTTCTGCTCCAGTCAGTGAATAGTTTCAGAATAATGTCTCTACTGCGCTATCGAAATCTGGGTTCAATCTGATGGAAATTCCCCCAAGTTGTTTCCCAACATTTTCCACCTTCTGATTCTCGACAGTGGAGGAAGCAAGCGGCTGAGAGAATTAGCTATTTCTTCCTTTTATCTATCGTTTGGTTTGTTTTGTGCTGGTATCCACGCACTCTTTCCCTCCCTAAAATTCTCTTAGCAACTGGATTTCCCCACTGTTGGCCAATTTTGTGAAAAAATTTGCAGTAAAAAATCAGATAGAAATGTGGGAATGTTCAGATTTTGAGTGAGTTTTGCAGACTTATTGTAAAACTGGAGGGTCTTATTGATGTAATTTGGAGTGTAGAGGGCCACATACAGCGGGCCACATTTGGCCCCCGGACCTTGAGTTGGACACATGTGACCTACATCATGAAGGGGAGAAACAGAAGAGATCTGTGGGAGGCGGAACCTGTGCACAACTCTGAATGTTGAAAGTTCAGCAGAGAACTGGAGGGGTGAGGGGGAGAGACGTAACATCAGACGATTTCCTCAATAAATCAATGACCGAGTCGAGTATTTGAAATCCATTTCTCAGGGTTTCCTTTGACCCTCTTTCAGGGTTTCTGTAAAACTCGGAGGGGGGTTCCTTGTCACGTTATTTGCCTCCAGCAGGGTCCAGGCAGCACAGTAAAGTTTGTGGGGATGTTTTCCTGCAGTCAGCATTAAATCGGTGTGACTTTAACTCATAAACCGACTGTTTACAATCTAAACTAGCCCTCTCCCCCCACTCTGCCCACAGACTCTGCTCACCCCTGGCTTTCAGGTTCCTTCTCCGTTCCTCGCGGTTTTCTCCCTCTTTGCCCTGACTTTTTGTTGCAGACTTCAGCAAAGCCTCACTGTAATTAGGGCCGCTGCAGCCGCTGAGTTGCAGATTCTTTCCTGTGGATATGGGAGTGTTCTTCCCACCTCCCCTACCCCATTATTCCAGTTTTTTTTTTCTTTCTTTTTGCTTAAAAAGTTGACCTAAAAGAGCTTGAACGTCACGTCACAGAAATGGAGACAATGATCCAACATGGGGGGGGGGGGAAGAAAATGTCGCCTTCAAAGCCAGAAGTGCAACTCCTCGTTCTCTTTTTTTTTTTCCCACTCAATTCCTCACATGAGAAGGAAGGTCTTCTCATGTGAAGCAACCCCCCTGCTTCCCACCCCTCTTTCTTTTTCCTCCGCTCCTCGTGTTGTTTTGGTTTTTTGGGGAAATGAGAAGCAGATGTTGCTTATTGTGCAGAAGTCGGTGCTGAAGGGAGGCGTAAGGGCAGGGGGGGAGTTAGGTGAGGCTGTTCTGATTCCAGGATGTAGTTGGGGGGGCCTTGAAGGACGACGGTGCAGATGTGGTTGCATCTGCGGATCCAGACGCGGGGCGGCTTTCCTGGCAGATCTGAGGCTGTGTTGTGCCGGCGGTGAAACGTTGTGGAGGGGAGGAGAAGGAGAGGGGGGTCTCTGATTCAGCAGCTTGGTCATAAAGGCCTGTTCCTGACCTGGGTGTTCCTAGAATAACTAACCATGGGGCAGCCTTTGTAGCTCGTCTGATGAACTGCAGAGTCTGAACACTTTGAACTCTACGTGACTTTTGAGAACTGGCTCGGCAGCCTGTAATTATACCGTTTGCTGCTTTTCGTACAAAAGCGCCGCGTCAAAAATCCTTACATCGAGCCACACGGAGACGAGAGTTTCTTCAAAAATCGCCTAGCAACATCATCAACGCTTCCAGGCTGTAACTGAAAAGACTCCTGCTCCAACGCCAAGAGTCAAACTGAAGCTAAGGGCGCCAACAAAGCAACAGTGGAAAAGCGTGCGGTGCCAGAATGTAGGTCACCCAGTCAGAGACCCTGGTTGAATTGCCAGCAGCCCATCCTGGCCACTTCCTGCCCGGCATGGAGGAGGCGCTGTGGCTCCTGCACCGCCCAGCCACGCTGTACGGGCTCCGAGGTAAAATGGCCGACAGTGACAGAAAAGCAGAGGATGGAGCGGGGTGAGGGTGGGGGGGGGAATTAAAAAAAGAAAAAAAAAAGAAAATTGGATTGCAAGTTTGCTGCCAAATGTCCCACTTGTGAGACAAAAAAGCAGAGCAGATCAGTTCAGGAGGATGAATATGGTTCCAGATGAAAACAGACGGAGTGAAGAGAAAACGTGAAGACGGGCAGCGTCAGAGGAGGTTTTCTGTAGCTCATCTTTCATTACTGTGATATAATAAAACATCACCTCGTGTTCAGCTGCTGCTCTTTGCATATTATTATCCATACAGAACGATATTTGTTCATTTCTATTTGATGTAGAGTTGTTTTAATCGTATCTTGGGAACCATGGGGCATCTTTCCTGTGTTCGAGAACCACTGTCACAGTTAATTTAGGATAGATTTATTAAATAATAGCCAATGATAAATGGGTGGTTTTTATATTACCAATTGTAACTATACTCTTACAGTATCCTGCAGTGTCTTTGAATTGCTCGAGTTTTATACAGTATTACTCAGAAATCTCCCAGGAGAGACATTCAGGGAAACAAATGGAAACTCCAGGTGACAGACGGAAAGAGGGCAGGAAAGAAATAAGCCAGATGCCGAGAAAGGAAATGTACTAAATGTGGCTTAAAGTATAATCCTTCACAGACATTGAGGAAAATCGTGATTTCACTCAGATGTGTTGCACTTAAAGCAGTTCAGGTAGTTTTGAATCTGTTCGGTTTGGCATGTGGAGCTCGACTGGCCGATTTAATGGTTTCAGTGGAAACCATGCACCGAGTTTAGCTGCATATATGTGCAACAAATCTATTTTCGTCGCCCTTCGCTGCTGTCACACGTCATCTCTGTAGGTTTTAGCACCAAAGCCCACCGCTTCTTTTCTGAGGAAGTAACAAAGAGAACAGAAAGAATGTCCTCATGGCTTCAGGTGGTCTGACCGTCAACAGGAACACGTCCTTATTTGTGTCTGTCTCATCTGGGTCAGGAAGTGGAGGAAGTTGAGTCAGCCGGAGCTCAGCCAATGGGAGGACGGGCTCAGTTATACAGACTCAGCTAAAAAGAGCTTTGTGAAGAATAATGAAAAAAACACACATTTTGGGGAAAAAGGAAAAACTATTAAAATACTTTGACTGGAATTTGTATGTCTTCTTCATAGTTGAAAGAGGAAGCCGAGCCGTTCAGAGGAATAAACCAGAAGCGATCAAAAGATGTCCAGATTCATTGAAAACACCAAAAAAAGGAGAAAGTATTTGTATTCATTGCACCACAGATTCCCATGAATTTTTATTTTGCACACACACCCACAGATGTTAAATGAAACAAGAATAATAAATGGGCTTAAATTTCTTCTTTCCAGTAAAAAGAAAGAAGTGTTTGGTACCCAGTAAAGAAAACCCACGTTGACCAGTTGCCTCCAAAAGTCACATAACTATTTAAAGTCCACATTAGAAAAAACAGGATCTCTTCAGAATGAATGAATACAAGTGACGCTTTAAGTGTGGGATCAGGACGGCCATCAGAGAGCAAGAAACACCCAAGATTTATTTCTGGACACATCAAACAATAAGCCACCGAAATGAAACGCGACGCCGAGCCGCAACCTCATACTTTCCTCTCCTGTTTGTGACTCTTTTACTTGGTGGTTGCGGTTGTTTACTGCGCCGCCGCCGGCACATCAGGAGTTAAAGCGCGAAGGAATGAAGGGACGGAGAAAACAGAGAGCAAAAACAGACAAGACATAGTTGCGGATGGAAGGAGTGGTTTGAGGCCGAAGCTCATAAAGAGGATCGT